CAATTTGTGTTCTTGAGGGACCAGTGCAACTCAGAGGGTGATTATGTTATATAATACCCTTCCCACACTCTCAGCTGTCTTGCTCTGACAAATATTCGTTCATTTTAAATTTTATCCTCCTAGCCTTACACTGAACCAGCAGTATTATATATGTAAGTGCTGAACTGTTTGCGCAAGGTAGTAAAGAAACGAAAGACCTGGATTGGGGCGATCGGTGAATTTGCTGATTCGCAGCACACACACAGCGTTCAGAATCCATCATTACTTTACAAAAATCGGGATGATACCGGTTTGTCATCTTCTTACTCGCCAGTGTCTCCGACCCAACGGCCGAATTCCACGTTTGCGGTTTGGTCCGTGATCTGCAACTTTAATCTTCTCCGGAGTCCTCAGTTGTCGAATAGCTTTCAGAGCCTCCAGTTAATGTTTCGACGACGTAGAATAGTCACCTCTCACCGATTATTTGTCCAGTGCTGAATCTCACAACAAGATCGTGTATTGGAGCTGCATGCGACCAGGAGGATGACCATTTGGATTGAGTAGCATTTAGGTTCTTTCTGGTTTAATTTGAAAGTTGCGAGGACTGGTGATTGTGCGGTTCTCGGTGGACTTACAGAGTAAATGGATATCTTCAGCATTATTTGCCTTACATAGTCACTCTGGTAGTTGTTGAGTGCCTTCGAAAGCCCAGAGTTTATCGCATATCTCTATATGAAAAGTGTGTTGTCGAAAACCACTATTGACGGCGAATTCCTTTTTCACCATACGTTTGAATTTCAGTTCGCGTGAGTTTATACTATGTCTCGATAAGGACATGTGGGAATCTTCTGTAGTTTTTTTGACTGATGGGAGTGCTGCAGCGAGATTTAGGCAACAGACTACGGTATTGGACTTTGGATCTCCATCCTAAAACTATAGTTTTTTTTCGCTCAACCCGTTGTTTTGGACGCTCATCTTGAACAAGGCAAAGACGACAAAGTTTGCAGAGTTTTATGGTATCGTACAATTTCGTGACCTCTTAGTCAACAGCATATGGTCCAAACTAGGAGACTGAAACTTCATAAGTAAATGGGACATGAGCTGTTGATCTTAGATGCGAGTGCGCATGGTGAGGGGGAAGTAGTTTTCGAAGTAAGGTACATCAGGTTACAGTTAACACCTGTCAAGCGTGAGTAAAAGAGGCCAAAGGGCAGCGCAGCCGTCGGTCATACGGAGAGGGGAGGGGGCGTGAGAGGACGAGAGAAGGAGCGGGTTTACGTCCTTTCTCAATCGTTACCACGCAATGAGAGGTTGGTAATATGATCCAGCTGCTTGCAGAGTTCTGGTTTTCTTCTTCGTATTGCAGCGGCCTCGTTATCTTTGCCTTGTTTAAATTTCTCTCGGGAAAACAATGCTTATTTTGAAGTTGATGGTTTTGCCTTATCAATTTGTGGGCTTTCCCTGCTAGGATATTTTATTTCAAAAGTATCTCATTGAGACTGTAATTAAGTTTTTCACGTCTCTGCAGATTGGCGTCTGAGTTTGTGCGGACGTAATATTTCGGTTGTACTTCCCACATCATTTGACTTTTATTTACCTTCGTCTTTCCTAGCTGCTGGCCACCTGTGATGCCCTTCGCTGCCTCGTTCTCCTTATGCAATGTCTCGGCCCTTCTATGCGTCGTATCCTCTTTGCCCTCGATGCGGTCTTTATGAGTGACTCCAAATCCTTCATCGAGCGGTTTGTTTCCCATCGCCGCGAAGCAGACAGC